TGGCACCAAGTGATTACCATCTTTTCCTGTCCATGGCGAACGCGCTTAATGGTGTGAAGTTGGCCTCCCTGAGAGGCCTGACAAAATTGGCTCTCCGACTTTTTTGCCAATTGGGACGCAGCCCTCTACGAGAGGGGTATAATGAGGTTGGCATCTCGTTGGCAACAAGTTTACGAACAAAACAAGCATACTTGATTTAAATCGGACAAATGCACACACAAATGCACACAAAGTTTCAAGTTTTGAAAAATCAATAATAAAAACCGAACGAACTTTTAACTGGACCCAATATCAATTTATTTTCTTTCATTTTCTTTTGCTTTATTTTAACTAACCTTATTTTTTTTTATTTTATTTGACTTAACTTAATTTTATTTCCTTTAACAATATTTTGTTTCATTTTATTTATTTTATTTTGTTTCTTTTAAATATTATTTTATTTGATTTTATTTGATATTATTTTATTTTGTTTTTTTTTTATTTTATTTTTTTCATATTATTTTGTTTTTTATTTTCTTATCTTTTACTTTGTTTTATGTATTTTTTTTTTTATTTTTTTTTTATTTCATTTTATTTTATATTATTTATTTTTTTTATTTCGTTTAATTTCAGTTTAATATAATTACATTTTTTTTTTTTATTATATTTCTATCGTAATTATCCAACTGTATTGAAATTTCAATTACCTTAGTCTACTTACAGGCGCGTACACTGGTCAATGGATGAAATGCAGTTCATAATATCTCAATCGATTTTCGTTTAATACGTTTTTTTTTTACATAGTAAACACTGGCTTTTCCCAATTTTTTTTTTTTTTTTAATTTAAGATTTTTTTTTCAATCAACTTTTAGGCGCACAAGGTGTTGCTATACATAAATAGGTTTGTATATATATTTTATGCTATGCTAGCAACACACGAACTGCAGTTGCAAGCTAAAAACTATTTTCTGCTGCAGGCATGCAAGCATATGTATGCAGTGACACACATATATATATTCTATGTATACACTGCATTTGTGTTACAGTTTTCTGTTGTATTTTTCTACGGTCTGGGTTGTTAAGTGCTCAAAATCTATAACAATTTCTTTCACAATATTGTTCCTATTTTCGGTATATTTGTGCATTTTTATTTACTGTATTGAACATATTTGTTTACTTTTATATATATATTTTTTTAATATTTTTAGCACTCACAAAGCGTTTTCTTAATTTTATTTGTGCGCTTTAACATTTGCCGTTTCTAAATCGCTTTATAATCCGTACAATACCGTTGTTCAAATCGAACTGAAAGCCTACGCTTCAGCAAAAGCTATATCGACTAACAACGACTCATCGCCATCGTCACCGTTAAACGACTCAACGCACACATCTATCTCTGTCTGCATCATCTAAGTGCGGGAGCCGACAAATATGTGCCCAGCTTTGCGTTCGGCTCGCCAGTTGCAGCCCCGGTGCAACCCCAAAAAGACAGGTCGTGAAAAAGCATGTTAATGTCTGCCTGAGTATATGCGCCCTCGATTTTGCTGAATGAGAGTAATTTTTCCGGTGAGAATTGTGAGAGTACAAGCAAATGTTTGTGGTAGAGAAAAATATTTAAATGCTTTCAACTGAGAACTAACATGGAAAGTTTCTAACTTTCAATTTATTTTGCTGCACTCATTCGTTACAGCTGATTGGGGAAAGCACAAAAGTAATACTGAAAGTGGTTAAATGGTTGGAATAGCATTAGAGTGTCATTACTTAAAGCTTGTTTCTCAATAATAAGTCGAAATTTCATTGTCTGATCGTAAAATAATTTGATATTATTGTAAATGTTGTATTTGCTTTATTTTTTTTTAATTTACTTTGTATAATTTTTGTTCAAATTTATTTTGTATAGTCTTGTTATTATTCTTTTGTTATTTTTTATTTATTTTTTTATTTATTTTTTTATTTATATTTTTATTTATTTTTTTATTTATTTTTTTATTTTTATTTAATTTTTTATTTTTTATTTATTTAATTTTTTTATTTTTTATTTATTTAATTTTTTTATTTTTTATTTATTTATTTTTTTTATTTTTTATTTATTTAATTTTTTTATTTTTTATTTATTTATTTTTTATCTATTTTTTTATTTTTTTATTTTTTTATTTTTTTTTTATATTTTTATTTTTTTTTTAATTTAATTTTTTATTTTTTATTTATTTTTTATTTTTTTTATGTTTTTTTTTATGTTTTTTTTTTATTTTTTTTTTTATTTTTTTTTTTTTATATTTTATTTTTTATTTTTATTTATTTATTTATTTTTTATTTTATATTTTTTTTCTCTTTTATTTTATTTTTTGTTGTATTTCGTTTTATTTTGTTTTATTTTATTGTATTTCAATTGATTTTTATTTTATTTGATTTAATTTTATTTTACATTTACTTTTATTTAATCCTTTGGCGCTTTCCACACTGATTTTACCGAAGCGCTCTAAATCAGCTGGTTCCTTTGGTGCATTCAGCACATTTCAGCATAATTTATCATGGCATTAACGGTCTATAAAGCACTTCAAAGCTTTCTACGCTTTTCTTTTAGTTTTCAGTTCGATTACAGTGCTATCTATACCCAGGCAGCACTTTCAAGCGAAGTAAGCTCTCTCCAACTGTTTTAAGCTCTCTTTAATTTTTTTTGTTCTCTCAGTTTTTGTCTCTACCTTTTTCTCATTACTAAGCACTTACTCTCTGTCTCTCTTTGCAATTTTGTAAGGTAACTTCACGTTTATTAAAGCTTTCTGTGACTGCATTCCATACCTTTCTTCTTTATTTCATTTGGTGTTTCGACTGGGCACTTGTTGTGCGTTAATTTGAAAGCATAGTGAATTAGCATATTTATTTCTTTTTTAATTTTTTAGTTTGGGTTTTTCGTAGTATATTTTGCTTTCGAATAATTTTAACTTTATATTTTTTCCTTAGTTACTGATCTCTCATAAACCTAGACTTTTTAGAACGCTCTTCCTCCCATTGCCTATAGGTTTTCCTCTGAGGTGAAATTCGTCTTCTGCATAAAGAACAGTTGAATAAGAATAAAGAATGAGCTGAAAGCAGAACAGGAAAACAATTTATATTTATAACTCTGCTTGCTTCGGCATGCTTCCTTGTAACAGGTGGTTTTCACTTCAAAAGCGGACTCTGTGGTGTTTTTTCTTTTTTTTTTCAATTAGAACAGGAGTTTCTTTCGACTTGAAGTAGCACGCATACATACATAGGCAGTGTTCTTTTGAAACAGGCGTTTGTATGATGTTGAATGTGAATATCAGTCGGAGACAGAGCCCATTGAACCTAATAGCTGCACCTTCTAGAAAAGCAACATCACCTGAAGGCGGCATAGAGGAAAATAACTTCAGCGATTTTCAGCACGATGGAAAGGGGAACATAGTCATGTCCAAACCATTTTTGTACAGGATACCTTTCAACACCAAAAAGAAATTTTGCAGTTGTGTTTCAGCTTCGCACTTTTCACTTAGTCATCGGTTCTTCCCTTTTATCGATGCAGTTTGATGCTTAATGCTTCATTATCAATATGCATGATATACTTTCTATTGCTTGATGGCATAAGCAATATATTTATATGCAAATATAAAACTCTTTTATACGTTTCGCTTGTTAAGCGCCTTAACGTATGCAATAAATTTCAGTTAGTTTTATATTTAGCAAAGTATGTGAGTAAAAGCTGCTGGCAAAATACATGATTCTGCGCCAAATGCAGATTTATTGCTTCGGAAATATTGTAAATACGAAATAAAAAATGTGGTAGTTTATATTTATCGAATACTATTTTCCATTATTTTACTCTATTTTACTGACTTTCATTTAATAATTTTTTATTTTATTTTATTTTATTTTATTTAATTTTTTTTTTTTGTTTATTTTATTTTATTTTATTTTATTTTATTTTATTTTATTTTATTTTATTTTATTTTATTTTATTTTATTTTATTTTGTTTTACATAGTTTTTTTTTTTAGTTTAGTTTTTGTATGACTTGTTAATTTTTACTTTATTTTATATTTTCATTACATTTCTGCTGAAATTTACATTTTAAGTAGCATTTTTCCATCAAAATATGCATTCCATTCCACCCTAAATCAGACATGTAAATAAAAGATATAATGATGATTGAAGCGATGACAATAGAACTTTTCAGAAGAGACAGCTTAATTGACTACTTAACTGCGTGTAAATAAGTTGGCGACTTACTTAGCGGACTGAAGGCGACATGCAGCAGCAAACCTCCAAAGGCAATGAGTTTGTCTTTAGGTGGTATGTATTTATTAAATTTTCTGTTGAATTTTTATGTATGTACATATATATATTAACAAGAAGATATAAATGACTGGCAATAGACCGAAAAACAGACTATTTTAATGAGATTGGGTATATGTTCGCCATGGTAAGTGTATCGCAATGATTTTGCGAGCCTCTTCGTAAGGTCGAGACCTCTGGAATATTTCTGCCTGCTTCAAAATTGAAGGAATATTTTCTTGATGGCAGTTATGTATGTGTGTACGTATATTATATTTAATTGATGCTCTATAACAGCTGCAGCTTTTTGTGCGAACTCCACTATCCCCACTCCAATTTGTGGTGTTTAGCTTGATGTTTCTGCATCCTATTTTTGTATTAAATACAAGCGGTGTCTTAAAATTCAATTTAAAATAGTAGACTATAGAAAAACACGTATTGCAACGCGAGACGACATTGCAGATGTAAATATTCATCGATAATCGATAACTCGCTTGTAGGGTAAACAGAGGCTTGCAACGTGTTGACATTGTTGCGTTAAATATGTGATTTATGCTTGTATTATGTAATTTCGTAAAAAGTATTAATTTTCAGGAATTTGCAGTCGTATAAAATACTGCACAATTAAGGAAATGTCAAATAATTAAGAAAATATATATATATATATGTATACATAACATACACTAAGCTATAAAATTAAAATAAGATTAATTGAATGCAAAGTTTACTCACCTCACACCTCAACTTGATCGTCAATCGATTTTTAATTAACTTTTATTTCTTGTTGTATAAATTCTATTGAGCTTATGAATTGTCTGTTGTCGCCATAATAATAACACCAATAATTTTTATTAGTATTATTTAGGTTTTTTTAAATAACCGTATTTTTGTTGCTGCCCTTTAACACATTATTGAACTGGAAATATAGAAAATGAGATTTTTTTTTTCAATTTTTATAGCTACATTTATTGTATTTGCTATGTATATATATATAAATATTTAAGTAGTATAAATTTACTTTATTTAAATTAGCCGTACCCGCCTTAACCTGGCTTGAAAACATTTATTTATTATTATTAGCTAACCAATAATTAAAATCTAATTAATCTTGATCTATGTGCCATTGCAATGATCTACAAACAAAGTACGCATATGCAAAGTGCATATGTAAATATGTACTTTTCTCATTATTCTTTACCCAACGCCCGCTCAGTTTACCGACGCCCTAAAGATTCTGTTATCATTTAGTAAAACACAAATAGAAAAAATAAACGTAAAATTTTAATAATACTAATTGACAAAAACTATTCACTACCACTTTATACATAAGCAACTGCTTATATACATATACAAAATATACAAAAGTAGTGGCTATCAGCTGCCACATGCCGACAGCAAAGCGCCTCAAACCAACAATCGCAAATAGAAATTTATAAAAATTACTATCAAATATTGCCATCTTAGATAAATCGAGCGCTTGTATAAGTGTAGCCATACTCGTATACATAGTGTAAGTATAATTGCTTGCCATTTTCACCACAAAACAACTGTGCCTAAGATGATACTTGTCATATACTCGTATATACATAAACCATCACACACCTGCGTTTCTGTCGCTCACGCTACCAACACTTTTTAACTAGGCTGTTTAGCTGTCAAATTTTGAGTTGTTAGCAAATTCATTAACTAATTTCTGACATTTCATGTTGCTGTCAAAGTGACAGTGACAGATTTTGCAATATTCTTTTTTTTTTTGTTTTTTTTTATTTTTTTTTGAATTTTTTTTTTTTTTTTTTGCTTAGCTTACCTCCGCTTCTTGCTGTTTACTTTGAAATTTAATTATTCAACTTGAGATGTATGAGATATATTAGGTGATAAGCGTTAAATTGTAAATATTTTGCATATTTGTGGGTTTATTGCTTGTCGAAAAGCGAAGAAGAAGACCCAGCTAACAGTGTTGGAAATTTACCAAAATAAACTCTTCAACTTAAGTGTCAAATGAGATAACAAATGGTATTTTAATTACAGCTCTCATCTAAAAAAAAATTTATTACACTGTAAAAAAACCAACAGTAAAATAAATGTATTAAAATATAACAAATTGAAAATAAATTTAATTTCCTTAAACAAAAAAAAATATATAAAATAGCATCAAATATAAAAAACAATATAAAAAATATTCAAAATAAAAGAAGAAAATACATAAAAATATAGCATAAAGAATAATACCAAATTAATTTAAAAAATAAAAAAATAAGAATTTGCATGGAAAATGATATAAAAAAAAAATTACATTCCATTTGTTAAGGTAGAATCTGAAATCTGAAATAAAAAATTAAATTAAGTATTCAAAAAAAGTTTCAAAAATTTATGGGAGGAAATCGAATAAAAATTAATAATAAATTAGTTTAATAATAAAATCGACAAATATTTGCTATTAAAATGAAACAAATTAAATATAAATTAAGTTCCATTTATTAAGATAGAATCAAAAAAAAATATTATAAAACTCGTAAATATTCAAAAAAAATTTAAAAGCTTTTTAACAGAAAATAGAATATTTACTACCATTTTATAGAATAAAATTTAATTTAAAAAAATAATATTAAAAATATGAAATATAAAGTAAAAAATAATAATAAATTATTTTAATAAAAATAGGTTTTAAAATAAAAATATATTAATTATAGAATAGAATTAAATATAAAAAATATTATTAAAAATATAAAAAAATTAAACATGAAATACAAGTTAAAAAACAATAATAAATTATTAACAAAAGTAGATAATAAAAATTAAAAACCAAAACAAAACCATAAAATAAATCAACCTAAAACAGAATTGAATTATAACATATATCGACATAAAAATATGAAATTAATATAAAAAAATTAAATTAATAAAAAAAAATCTTTTATATCTAGCAAAATAAAAATAAAAGTAAAAAATATAAGCAATATATAGAAAACAGATCTGTTAAAATAAATATGTACAAAACCAAATAAACAACAATAAAATGAAATAATTAAATTAATTTAAAAAAATTAAGTCAAATAAAACATAAATAAAATTAAAATTAATTGACTTTAATTAAATTTAAACAAGTATGAAATATAACGAAAACATAAATAAAAATTTAATAATGATAAATTAACTTTAGAAATATAATAGTAAAATAAAGAAATGTATCTTAAAAATTTAAACTAAAATAAAAAAATATATAATTTAATAATTTTATTAGAAAACGAAAAGTAAAACTATAAATTGAACGAAAAAATTGGAAAAGTAAGTGAAATGCAATGAATTAAAAAACTTAAATTAAAAAAAAATTATAAAATGATATAATATAATAATAATATTAGATAAATAAATAAAAATATAATAAATAAATAAAAAAAATAATAATAATTCTTCATTAAATCAAACTAAATAAAATAATTAAAATAATAAAAACTTTTTTTATTTACAATTGAATAATAAATAACACAAGAATTTACGTATAAAATCAAACCTAAAATTTTATTAAATTAAGGAAATAATAAAGGAAATTAAAAAAAAAAACAAATAGAACAAAAAAATTAAAAAACCAAACAAGAAGTCGAAACGAAATGAAAATAAATCAAATGATTAATATAATAAAATTAAAGTTATAAATAAAATAAAATAAACATTTTAAATAAACATTAAAAATAATTAAATGAACTGAACCAAAATAAACCAAAACTAATTTAAATTATATGAACTTAAACCAAAAAAAAAAAATCAAAATAAAACAATAAAATAAAAATTGTAATCAAAAAAAAAATTTATAATAAGAGAAAAAGTTCAATTTAAATGTTTTGACTAAAATTAAATAAAACAATTATATATATAAATAAATATAAAAAAGGAATAACAAATAAAATAAATGGAAAAAATGAAAGTAAAAAAAAATTAATTAATGAAAAACTTATGAAAGAATAAAAAACAAAGCAAAATAAAAGAAATGAGAAAATAAAAAGAAATGAACAAAAATAAGACAAAAGAAAATAAAGGAAATAATAAAATTATATAAAACAATTTAAAGAAGAAAAATCCAATTAAATTAAATTAGTTAATATAATAATGAATTCAATTAAATAAATTAAAATAAAATGAGAAACTGTAAAAAAAAAAATATTAAATAAAAGAAAAAAATTACATTTAAAACACATGCTCGTATAATTAATTTTTTAATTAATTTAAAGAATTTATCAAAAATAAAAAAGTAAAAAAATCAATTTAAATAAAAGTTGTTTTAAATAAAATAAAACTTATTTAATTGATTCAACGACCTTCTTTAACTCGAGATCGATATGAAAAAAAATGATTTTTATGTTCTCCGATATATGTATATACATATTTCGGTAACCGTCTTAAAAGAAAAAAGTTTGTTTACAGATCTATACTGTGTGACGTGTAGTTTTGTACTGAAACAAACGATCGAAGGGGTTTAACAAAATTAGATAAAAGTAAAATTTAATAAATTAAAGGAAAAAAACATATAAAATAAAAAAAAAGAAATAAAATAAAATAAAATATAATACTAAAAAACAAATTAAAATAAAATACAATACTATAAAATAGAATAAAAATAAAGTAGAATTAAATACTATAAAATAAAGCTTTATTATTTTCTTTTCCAAAAATACGTAAGTCGTCATTGAAAACAGCACAAAGCAAATAACATCAACTTTATCACTTCACCGTAAAGGAAGACGTACGTGTAAATAAAACAGAAATATTCATATACATATGTATATGCTTATATATGTATATACAGACGTATCGTTGAGCCTCTGTCCATTGCACTGTAGCACAACAACAACGTCTCATTTTTGCTGCATGCGATACAGTCAACAGCCAGCGCTGGACCAACTTTTGGTCAATGAACGATCTTGACCTTAGCAAAACATACATACATACTTTTACACTTTTTATATACACACATATATATGTATGTGCAACCGCCTTCTCTTCTTGGCATGCTCACTTCACCCACTACATCATACGGCGCGAACTCTTGAGACCTCTTCCACTCTCTTTGGTAATTCTCTCCTTTACCAAACTGATATTTGTTGCATTCATACTCTGCGCCTGTAAGTTAAGTTAGTGGTTTTATACGAATATGGGAAAAATATGCAGGAAACTTTGCACCGGTTTCGCGATAGAGTTGCCAATGCGCCGACATACTGAATTTTATATTAAAATTAAGTACTGCTTGCCTTTTTCATTCCAAAGCAGAGAGGTCGAAAAAAGAGATTAGAGATTAGAGCATTGAAGTCAACAATGAGTTGTGTAACTAGTTGATACTGAATCAGTTAGACTAGCGATAGTTCTAAAATGTAAATGTAATAATAATAATAATAATAATATTAATTAATAAAATAAAACTAAATCAATTTAAACAAAACTAAATAAAACAAGATAAAAGAAAGAAGTAAAATAAACTAGAATAAATTGAATAGAAAAAATAAATTGAAGTAAAATATAAAAATTAAATAAAGCAAAATGAATAAAAAAAATATCTAAAATAATGTAAAATATAATAAAATAAAAAAAAGTAAATAAAAAAAAGAAAAAGGTGTAATTAAATTAAGTAAAGCAAATAACGTAAAACAGAATAAGGTAAAATAAAAAAAAATTAAATAAAAAATATAAATAAAATATAAAAATTAAATAAAGCAAAGGGAAGTAAAATAAAATAAAATAAAATAGAAGAGTGTGAAATTTAAAAGTTAAATAAAATAATATAAAACAAAATAAAACACCATAAAATATATATAAAATAAATGTTAAATAAAGTAAAATAAAATTAAAGAAAAAGGTCCAATAAAATAAAGTAAAATAAATAGCATAAAACAAAATCAGGTGAAATGAAATAAAATAAAATTAAAT